TCCCAGCACGAGATGGCGGATTTGGAGAGGTACCAGTCCCGGAAACTAACACAACAGGAAAAGATAGCAGATGTAGATAATTACCAGACCTGGAAACCATCTCCAAATCAAGTACAAGAATTACCCAAATACCACCTTCGGAAGCTGTCTCTACATGAGTTACCAGATTTAGAAACCTACCAGACCCGGAAATTATCATTACACGATTTTCCAGATTTGGAAAAATACCAGTCCTGGAATCGGTCTCGAGATGAATTGCCAGATTTGGATAAATATTGGTCACGGAGGGGTTCTCATTGTGAATTAGATCCTGCATTGATTTCACATCCCACATCAATTAATTGGAAAAGGCCAGAACATATTTGTGACAGAGAGACATTGGGTTATTCAGATCTTTCTTCAAGACCTGGGTCTGCCATGGACAATACGACATTGTATTCTCATCCATCACAATTGGGTGCGGACTACATAACGAGTCTTGAGTACAGGTATCCAAGATCAGATTTCAATGATCCAAGATGCTTAGTGTCCGCCTCAGCTGTTCCAGTTCCAGGTGAACATTTGATCCCGTCCCTATATAGCTATAAGTCACAGAGGCCAATGATGAAATTGGTAACATCCCAGGAGAGTGATGCTGCATCAAGGTAATTGTATAAAAAGTAATTTGAACATTTCTGAGTCTCTGTTCAAAATTGGACTGGAAATTATGACTGCAAATCAGACTACAGTGGTTAATTTGTGCTCTAACGTTTTGCCTGGCAGAAGGATGAACTATATACTTGCAGGCAGGATATATAACATCACATTTCTGCTACTTCTGTTCCTAAATTGATCTGTCTGAACCTGGACTGATTTAGGTTCTGCTACTGATAGTAAATGTGAAGTGGACATTCACTAGACTATATATATCCACCATGTTCTGTTAACTTGACTTAATAATTAAAGCACAGTTCTTCACTGAGGCTTTTGCATGCAAGCTTGATTATCTATAAGTATAAAAGGGAGAAAAAGTAATTTTATTGAGAGTTTCTATTCCACTCAGAAGGCATCAGACCAATTCATGTCCAAAAACTTGCTTTGAAAACTCTGCTTGAGTTTTGACAGCTGTGAGGAATTGCATCACATCAACTGAAACAATTCACAACAATCTCAAACAGTTGACATCATTCTAAACAAAATTGCTCCTTGGGCTATACCCGATCTGTAGATCAGATTTTGTTAAAATTCAGCTATGACTTTTTCAATTTATGTTATTTACCAACTGATTGATATTCAGGGGCAAAAACAAAACTTCCACCCACCTTGAGTGGCAGAGATAATATACTAAGACAGCCTTACTATTCATTGCCTACCTTGGTTCAATGACAAGGACAAAACTTTGAAATTACTTTCTATATGATCACTGTGGCACATTTGTAATACTTATTACTACCATATTGCCCTTCAGAAGGAAAAGTATTTTTCTCTTGCCCTTGAAACCCAGAATTAAGTATGTCCCAGCTCCATTTGTCTTAAGGCTACATATTTAAAACTGAGTACATATTTATGTTAAAAGAAATTACATTCCTTTGAGAACCTGAAAGACGTGCAAACATAGAATTTGAATCATAGAATCCCTACAGTTTTGAAACAGGTCATTCGGCCCAACAAGTCCACTTAGACTCTCCGAAGATCATCCCATCGAGACTCGCCCTCCACCCTATTCCTGTAACCATGCATTTCCCATGGCTAATCCACCTAACCTACACAACCCTGGACACTATGGGCAATTTAGCATGGCCAATCCACCTAACCTACACGTCTTTGGATTGTGGGAGGAAACCCACGCAGACATGGGAAGAATGTGTAAACTCTACACAGACACCTGAGGCTGGAACTGAACCGAGGTCCCTGGCACTGTGAGGCAATAGCGTCAACCACTGAGCTACTGTGCTGCCCCGTTTGACTAGAAATGAAATTAGAGTGTCATCTTCCTTGTTTTTGATTTCTCAATTGGGTTAGGGCTTTGACGTTTGAGACAAGTTATCCATTTGGCCCAGCATGTTCATGTCAGTTAACAAAGATCTGACTAATCCCATTTCCAGCTCTTGGCCTGTAGCATTAGGGCTATGAATTTTTTGACTGATGTTATTTACCAGTTGATATGAGTAAATACTCCTAAATACTGGTTAAATGTTGAAAGAATTTCTGACTCCCTGCTCTTTCAGGCAATGAGTTCCAGACACTCACCACCTGTCAGGTGAAGACATTTCTCCTCAACTTTCCTACTTGCCTTCTACCTCTTACCTTAAGAGTCGTGCTGCTGGTTATTGACCCCTCTGCTAGTAGAAAATGTGTTTTTCCGTTCATCCTTTCTATAAACCAAGTAACTTTGTAATGTCTTGATCAAGCCCCTTATCAATCTTTGCAGCTTCAAGGAAAACAACCCCATCCCATCTAATCTTTTCTCAGACCCCCAAACTAGGCAGCATCTCCTTTACACTGTCTCTAGTGCAATCATATCACATCCTTCCTGCTGTGCGCTGACCAGAACTGCATGGAGTGCTTCAATTGTGGCCTAACCTGCATTTTACATGGTCCCAGGGTAATCTCCCTGCTCATCTATTCTGGGCCTTGGTTTAACAAAGGCAAATATCCTAAAAAAGAGATAGCAAGAACTACAGATGCTGGAGTCAGAGACAACACAGTGTGGAGCTGGAGGAACACAGCAGGCCAGACAGCATCAGAAGAACAGGAAAGTTGACGTGTCGGGTTGGGACACTTCTTCAGAAAATGTCAGCTTAACCACCTTTTCTACTTGCCCTGCTTCCTTCAGAAATCTGCAGTATGCACACCAAAGTTCCTGTTATCTTTGGTACTATCTAGGGTCTTGCCATTCATACTTAATGTCATGCCTTGTTAACTGTCCCAAAAGCATTACTTCTCACTTTTCCAGATTGAATTCCAATTGCTACTGCCCTGACCACCTGACCAGTTCATTAATATCCTCTTCACTTTTTACTACTCTACAAATTTGTGTGTCAACTGATAATTTCTTGTCATCTGTGACTGTCTTGTTCATACCCACTGCATTTAAGAACAAATCATCAATGTGCACTACAAATCGCAAGACCCCCATACAGAGTCCTGTGGAACCCCACTGGAAATAAATAAACCTCTACCATCACACTCTGCTTTTCTGCCTCTCAGCCAATTTGGATCCAATGTTCCGTATTGTTTTTGGTTCTTACTTTCTTGACCAGTCTGCCATGAGGGATCTGATCAAAGCTAAAGTCCATGTAATTCCTATGAAATACGTTACACTAATCAATACTCCTACATATCTCATTAAAAAGTTGTATCACATTTGTAAAACATGAGCTGTTCTCTTCTCTCAATCTCCTAGTTGCACATAAATTCAATCTCTCAGAATCCTTTCTAGTAACATTGCCTCTACTGAGGTTAGACTGAATAACCTGTAAAATCCTGGTCTGTCCCCTCTCTCCCTTTTTTTAATAAAATTTGCAGCCCTCCAGTCCTCTGGCACCTTGTCTGTGGCCAGAAAGGTTTTGGAAACTACTGCCAGGGCTCCCCGCTGCGCCTCGCCCTCTTTCTGCTTCTTGCTGTCTGTTCACCCAACCCCTGCAAATAGCCATCCCCAATGAGGGAGTGTCTTTCTCATGCCTGTCTGGTTCAAAGTGGTACCATGCTTGGCTGTGATACCCTCAACATTGGAATGGCCTCCATGCCATACCAGTATAATCTAGTGTATTATACTGCAATGCCAGTAACAATGTAGCAATAGTCCACCAAGGGCCAGCTTCAAGTGAGAAGAACTTTTTTTTTAAAAAAGTGTTCACACCAACAATAATGTTTCCCAGTTGAGGAGAGAATGCTGTCTATCAGAATATGGCAGTTTTTAGCAGTTGGCAATTTGCTTGGATCTGAACAATCATTGGCTGTGGAAGGACTTAGTATTTCAAAGACAACAGCTTTTGAAGTATAGCTATAACTGTGACCTCTGTAAGGAGGAAAAGTCCCATTGTGTGTTTGCAGTGAGCTGTTCGGTTCTCAGTCATTGCTTGTAAAATTTTAGCATTGTTTTAAAGAACGTGCACCTCATGAGGCACAATTAAGGGCTGTTTCGTACAGACAGTTCCTGATTTAGCACATTTGGTAATAAGTCAGGAGCCTCCTTATGATTAACATACTTAGTTTTTCCCTGTTCTAGAAGTTTCCTCTTCTCAAGGCAGTGGCTGCTGTCAGGGTGTGGTTTCGCAGGTGGCAGCTGCAATGTGGCACTTCACACAAATAGGCATTATTTATCTGTGTGCCTTGTGCAGAGTGCTGGCATGCTATTCAATCCTGGTTGATGTAATTGTTCAATTTAATTCTGTCCATATATACACTTTAAAGCAGGAGTCAGCAGTTAGGAGTGAACTCAGCCTGGTTATTTATCCATTGTACTTTTTTTCCCTTACTTCCATGAATTCTAAGGCCAATTGGCTGTGATTAGCTAAGAGCTTTATGGACAGTTTGGATCAATGCCCCACCACGTGCACTGACTTCGTTCCATGCAAGCAAGAGACCTGTGTTATATTGTTTCAATGATGCTGTGAAACAAGGCAGCATTTTAACAATTAGCTGTACAACATGTGACATCTAGAGTTCCAATTGATGTGGTAGTGCCATTCATGGGGTGTTGTTCTTGAATGTAGAGATTTCAGTCAGATACGGTGTCCTGCAGCTGATTCCATTTAATTACCGGCTTTGTGTTTGTGTCAAGGCATTCTCCTCTTCATACTGACAAAGAATGACTATTTAGACACATTTTCAGGGCACATCCAAGGAATAGAATGTTATCTGTCAGAGTGAAGGGGACAAGTTGGAAAATACTAACGATATTGCTGCCTATGATCAGCTATATAAAGGAAAAAACCAGAATGAAAATTCTCAGCTGGATTAATTCGTTGAGTTTTGTATTGGCCCAGAGGTGCACAAGGGGATCCTGCAGAATTCCCATCATTGCAGACTCCGAAGGAATTGCCTGGGAGCTTGAGTATTCTGCTGGGCAATTCCTGTATGCCTGGAATCCTCCAAAAGTTGCTATTTAAATCTGGAGAATTTAGAGGATTTTGATGAAATTAGATGAGTAGTTACTCAGGACAAGTTAGACTATTAAATACCTAGCAAATTATTCAACTAACTCCATACTTAGCTGTCATGCCCCCAACTATACCTTCTCCTGACCTGACACCCAACCACCCTTTACCTCACCACTGCACCTGATTCCGCTCCCAACCTTGCTGCACTTGGCACCTGATCCCCTTCCCCTTTCATGCCCAGGACCTGTATCACCTTGCTACACTCCATGTGCCACCTTCTCTTACTAAGTTCCATATCGAACACCTTTCACCCCCAACCCTTAACCAACCTCCATACCCTGCCCCTGTGACATGCACCCCCATTCCCTGCCTATTACTGAATCCACTGCACCACCCCTCACTCCCTTACACCCCTTCCCCAGCTCTAGATGGGTCTGACTCCCCTTCAACCCCAGCACATGTTCCACCTTCCTGCTCCATACCCAATGTCACTTTGCTCCGCCACTAGATATCCTCCCTATTTCCCCTACTCCACACCCAATCCCCTTTTATTCATCACCAGACCTGACATCCATTATTCCTTTTCCGGACCTGAACCACCCCCCCTCCAACATTGCCCCTGCCCTTTGGACTTGACCCCGCCTCCCCCTCAAATTGCACCTGACTCCCCTTGCCCTGCTGCTGGACATGCTTGCCCTTTACCCCAGCTCTGCACTCACCCACCACCTTACCCCACCACTGGACATGCTCTCTCTGCTTCGTGCCTGACCGTCCCAACTTGACCAGCTGACAAATCCAGACCCACCCGCCCACCACCACTGGATTCCAACACTCCGGACCTGACACCCATCCTCCTGGACTGGTTTACTCCCTCCTGCCGCAATCTACTCTAATCACTGCATTGCTTACCCAATCTCTCAGAAGTATTCTTACAGACACAAAATCAGGATGTGATAATTAATGAAGCTCTTCACTTCCAATTTTTAACTTTCACTGAGAATGTTAAGATTAATTGAGACAAGGGTTGTAATTGCAGCGGAAGCTAAAATATCATAAACAATAAAATTTGGAAAATGTGAAATTTCTTAAAATGCAGCAATTTGACATTCAAACAAACATTAAATTATTCTTTCGGTGACAGGGAGGTTGTTAACAGTTGTTTAAGGAATAAATAGTGAAGTTAGCATTGCAGTTTAAAACCTACTTACACCTAATTCAACAAGATTTAATGTTTTCCAAGGACATTTACAGTGAGACTGAATGTAAGAATGAGAGTTCTCCAGCTGTTAATTTTTATTTATTGCACTGTCTTTGGAGAAGCATGAAATCATTGATAGCACTTGATTTCTGCTTTATTCTGCGTGTGCACAGACTCCAGAAACTGCTGTTACATTGCAGAAAGTTCTGAACTCGCACACGTTGTGAAATGCCCCACAGCAAAAACAAAATGGCAGTGCCCAAATAAGCATAATAAGTATGAACAAACAGTACAGAATGATTTCAACGGTTGTACTGGCATGGATATTGCACATAAATGATTTACAACCATGTACTGAGTATCAGGAGAAGTTCTCATGATAGAATCTTTCATTAAGTTTAAAGAAGATAAAGTTCAATCTGGAAGTAGGGTCTTAAATGTAAACAAGGGCAATTATGAAGGTATGAGGAGGAAGTTAGCTGTGGTGGATTGGAAAAATGCATTCAAATGCTTGGAAGATAGGCAATGGCTAGTAATTAATGAATAAATGTTTGGCTTTCAGAAAAGTGTAATTCTTGCATAAATGGCCAAAGGAAAAAATGAGACACATAACTAATTAAAAATACTGCCAAATCAAGGAATAAGTTTTACAAATTTGCAAAAAAAAAAGTTGCAAGCCTGATGACTGGGAGAATTTTACAATTGAGCAAAGATGGACTTATGGAAAGAGAGGAAATAGAATATTAATGTAAAATTGTAAGGAATATAAAAACAGACTCTGAGAACATGTGGGCAGCATGGTGGCTCAGTGGTTAGCATTGCTGCCTCACAGCGCCAGGGACCTGGGTTCAGTTCCAGCCTCAGCTGCCTGTCTGTGTGGAGCTTGCACATTCTCCCCGGGTCAGTTTGGGTTTCCACTGGGTGCTCCGGTTTCCTCCCACAGTCCAAAGATGTGCAGGTTGTGTGGATTGGCTGTGCTAAATTACCCATTGTGTTCAGGGGCGTATAAATTAGGTGGATTAGACATGGGAAATGCAGGATTACAGGGATAGGATAGGGGGATGGGTCTGCGTGGGATGCTCTTTAGAGGGGCGGTGTTGACTTGTTGGGCCGAATGGATTATTTCCACACTAAGGATTCTGTGAACGTCTATAGGTGCATAAGGGGGAAAAGATGAGTAAAGAAAAATGTGAGTAAAGACAGAAAAGGCAGAAAGGGGACAATTTATAATAGGAATTAGAGAAATGGCAAAAATCCTGAACAATTACTTTGTATCCCCTTTCACAGAGGAAGAGACAAGGCTCCATGCAATAATTGAGATCCAATTGTCTAGTGAAAAAATGGAATTGAAAGAAATTGGGATTAGTTAAAAAGGTAGTATTGATAATAACAAGGAGACTGAAAGTTAAATCCCTGGGACCAAATGACCTTCATTTAGAGTGTTAAAAGAGATGGCTTCAGAGATAAGGGCTGCATTGGTGATTATCTTTTAAAACTCACTTAATTATGAAGTGGTGCCTGCAGATTGGAAGGTTACAAATGTTCCTTCAATGTTTCAGAATGGAAGAAGAGAAAAACGGGGACATACAGAACTGTAAGTCTGAAATCAGTGGGAAGAATAGTAGAATCTATTATAACACCTGTATTTACTTAAAATGTAATTTGATTGGACAGAGTTAAAATGGATTTATGATGGAAAAATCATGTTTGACTGTTGGGCCTTTTTTGAGGATATTACTAGCAGAGTCAATAAGGTACAACTATAATCTATCTTTATAGGAATAAAGTCCCATACAAGAAGTTAGTAAACAAAACTAAAATGCATGGGATTGGGGCAGTACGCTAGCATGGATTGAGGATTAGTTAATGCAGAGAGAGAGAGCGAGAGAGAGAATAGGAATAAATGAGACATTCTCAGGTTGGCAGATTGAGGTGACCAGTGGGGTACCATAAGGAATAGTGTGTGGGCACCAGATGTTCACAATCTATATCAATGATTTGGATGTGGGGCTCAATTATTATATTTCCAACTTTGCAGATGATGGAAAATGTGAGAGTACAAGTTGTGATAAGGATGCAAAGAGGCTTCAAGGGATTTAGACAGACTGAGTGGGAAAGAGCAGAGAGAATATAATGTGGATAAGTGAGAGGTTGTTTTGGAAAGTGGAATTAAGGCACAGAGTATTTCAATGGTGAGAGATTGGCAAGTGTTGATGTCCAAAGGGACAAAGGTGTCCTTGTTAATAAGCCACTAAAAGCCAGTATTCAAGTACAGTAGCTAATTTTGAAGGAAAATTGTATGTTAGTTTTTAATCACAAGAGGATTTGAGAACAGAAGTAAAAGAAGTCTTGCTTCATTTGTATAGAACACCGATAAGACTTCACCTGGAGTATTGGGTGGAGTTCTGGTCTGCTTGTCTGTTGAAGGAGTGCAGCACAGGTTCAACAGACTGATCTCTGCGATGGTGGGCCTGTCTTATAAAAAGAGCTTGAGAAGCCAGGGCCTGTATTCTCTGTTATTGATCTAGATGATCAGCCATGATCTAGAATTGTGGATCAGGCTCGAGAGCTCCTGTTCCCATATTCCTATGTCTCCTGTGCCCCAGTTGATTTCTGTTGCTATCTCAGTACATACAACTCTCAGGCACCGATACCCATACTGAGTCCCATGGTACAATGTGTGAGATAATATTAGCTAACTATTCTCCTCAGAGCAGATAAACTGAAGAAAGTGTCATGAGGATAATTAAAGATACACAGCAAGTGATTTTGATCTGGAATGCACTGTGAGCGAGGTTAGTGAAAGCAAAAGTAATAACCTTCAAAAGGCAATTTGTTTAAAAACTTGACAAATGAATATTTAAGCTATGGAGAAAGAGGAGTGAAATTCATTTGGTAACTCCTTCCAGGATCTGGTGCAAGCAGAATGGCCTTCTGTGCTATCCTTTGTGATATTTGCTGACTTCTTTGGGAAATATTCTGCTTGCCCCTACCTCTCCCCACCCTACAGAAAAGCTAAACAAAACCATCCAGTTTTGAGGAGATGGGAATTGGACTTTGCTCCTCAGTGATTTGAAGATTTCATCATTATTATTTCATTAGTATTATTTCCCACCTTTTAGTCCATTGGGTTGATAGAACAGCCTACCAGCTCCTAGCCTCTTCCACATGCCAACCATACCATGACATGTACAGCATAATTGATTGACTTGTCAATAGATTCAATTGCTTCTTTTTGTTTAAGTGGCCAACAGTCTGCCTATTTTATAGGGACTGAGCTTGTGGGTAGTGGGCTAGCCACTTGATTTATTTTACGTGCATTATTCCCTGGCTTCTTTTGAAAGGCTTGAGCTAGGGGCTGTAAAATCCAGCCCAGTGCTTCACTCAGCATCGACATCTTCCAACAATAGTTACCGAACTATGCTTAGGAGCAGGAATTCTTGCTGCACTTCTTCTCTCCCCATTCCAACCCCTTCTTTTCTGTCTCAAGCCTATGCTGTAGGTCATGGACATTGAACCAATTGTAGTACCTTAAAAATAACCTAGCTGAAATTCAGTCTATAATAAACCACACTTGATACCTTCCAGTTTAGTTCATTCACATCATTGAGGAGCCCCAAAATCCTGACTTTGAGTGTGAATTAGACAGAATGTGTTTGCTCTAACAGTCAATGAATCTCTCTGAGACTGGTGACGTTCCATTGGTGATTTTTGTGATCTCTAATGCATAGGGTTTAACCTGCCATATCTGTCAGGATCTGTTAATCTTTCAGTTGAATGCTAGCAATTTAGTTGAAGCATGCCATTCAGCAAGGAGATGCTGATGACTTAATGGTATTATTGCTAGACTATTAATCCAGAGACCCAGCTAATCTGCCATGGCAGTTGGTAGAATTTGAATTCAATAAAAATCTGTAATTAAGAGTTTAATAATAACCATGAAATCATTGCCAATCCACAGAAAAACCCATCTGGATCACTAATGCGCTTTTAGGGAAGGAAACTGACATCCTTACTTTGTCTGGACTACACGTGACTCCAGACCCACAGCAATGTGGTTGACACTTAATGGCAATTAGGTTTGGTTATAAATGCTGGCCTGGCCCGTGACACCCACGTCCCGTGAATAAATTTTAAAAAAGCCGTCACTAATATGTAGCATCATCTATTTATCTCTCTTTCCTTAGAACTCAAAAATTCATATCTCCAATGGGTGAGATGATATCCAGAGGCGGTAGAAACTGGCCCTTTAAAGGACTGTACTTCCCACACAACATGCCGTCTTCAAAGAATGAAATGGATCTGGGCTGTCAGAGATGTGGAGAGTCATACTTCGGTGTTGTCAACAGACAAGATGAGAGGTGGGAAGATTCTGAGATTTACATAAAACCTATCACCATACCGCTAAGCAACACCATTAAAAGTCCTTCTCAAGAACCCAGTGAGGGAATTGAGACTGTGAGATGCAGTTCAAGTGCTCAGAGCAGACCACCTGCCGAGCTAACTTCAGAGGAGCTGGTGCGGGATATTGCAGAAAAAGACCGATCTCTGGCAGACATTTTGGATCCAAACTCGAAGATGAAGAGTGCTGTAGGCTTGATGGGTGGAATCTTCCCAGAAAGCAAAGAGGAACTGTCACGGGCACGTGAGCACAAGAAACGGAATCGACCACAGCTGTGTCTGAATGTTGACCAGGAGAAGTAAGTCTGTTTTCTTGCAGCTTTTCACTTGTTATTTACCTTATTAAAATCCAGATCCAAGTCCTAATCAGTGCTGAGGTTGTTGTTCCCACTCTAGGCAGTAAAGAAGTGAGGAAAAAAAAACCCACACACGGTTTTCATTTCTGATTAATATCCAGTGAGCCAGATAAGTCAACCTGTGTTTATAGATGTTGGTTAAGAATACATTTGGGTTGGACTGTGATCCTTCTCCCATGATAAAATAAGCATGTGCCAAAGATCTAGCCACACTAGCAAGATACTAGAGAGATGTAAGCACCACACTTCAGCAAAAGGCTGGTAAAATTGATCTGGCAGTGTTGGTGTTCAGATGATGCATCCACTTTGCTTCTCTGTCATACTTGTGGTCTAATTTTGAACATAATTATGGGCGGCTTTTCAATGCAAATTTTATTTAAGTACAGATACATTCCACATGGTGTGTCTTTAATCCAGTCCCATATGCGGATTCTGGCTGCTACAAAATGATCCATACCATATGAATGGGTGACATATGGTTAAACAGATGGAAGCAGTTAACAATTAAACTTACAGTTTCTTGAACACTTGTATATCTGTTAACCACTGGAAGGGTTGACCTTTATTCTCAAAGAACATTACTCAAGTGAGTAATGAGAAGGGTCTGAAGAAGGGTCTAGGCCAGAAACGTCAGCCTTCCTGCTCCGATGATGCTGCTTGGCCTGCTGTGTTCATCCAGCTCTACACCTTGTTGTCTCAGATTCTCCAGCATCTGCAGTTCCTACTATCTCTGATTACTCAAGTGAGGGTAGGGCAGTGGATGTTGTCCATATGGACTTTAGTAAGGCCTTTGACAAGGTCCCACATGGCAGGCTAATAATGAAACATAGGTCGTATGGGATTCAGGGAGAGCAAGCTAATTGGATTCAAAATTGGCTCGATGGTAGGAAGATGGTGATGGTTGAAGGTTGTTTCTCAGACTGGAGGCTCGTGACCAGTGATCTGCCATGGGACAGGTGCTAGGACCTCTGTTATTTGTTATTTACATAAATGATCTGGATGTGAATATACAAGGCATGATTAGTAAGTTTGCGGATGATACAAAATTAGGAGGTATCATTGATAGCGAGGAAAGTTGTCAAAAATTACAGAAGGATCTTGATCAGATGGGGATTGGCAAATGCAATTCAGTACAGTTAAGTGTGAGGTGCTGCACTTTGGAAAGTTAACCAAGGTAGGACTTGTACAGTAAATGCTAATGTCCTGAGGAGTGTTGTGGAACACAGGGATCTAGGAGTACAAGTATATAGTTCGTTGAAAGCTGCGTCACAGGTGGACAGGGTGGTAAAGAAGGCATTTAGCATGCTGGCCTTCATCGGTCGAGGCACTGAGTATAGGAGTTGGGATGTTATGTTACAGTTGTATAAGTCGTTGGTGAGGCCACACTTGGAATATTGTGTACAGTTTTGGTCATCCTGTTATAGGAAAGACATAGTTAAACTGGAAAGTGTGCAAAGAAGATTTATGAGATGTTGCCAGGACTAGTAGGCCAGAGTTGTAGGGAGATGTTGGCCATGGTAGGAATTTATTCCTTGGAATGTAGGAGAATGAGGGGTGACCTTATTGAGGTGTACAAAATTATGAGGGGCATAGAAAAGATGAATGCATATAGTCTTTTTCCCAGGGATGGGGAATTGAAAACTAGAGGGCATAGATTTAAGGTAAGAGGGGATAGATTTAAGAAGGACCTGAGGGGCAACTTCTTCACACAGAGAGTGGTGCGTATATGGAATGGGCTGCCAGAGAAAGTGGTTGAGGCAGGTACAATAGCAACATTTAAAAAACATATGGATAGGTACCCGGGTGGGAAGGGTTTAGAGGGATGTGGACCAAATGCAGGCAATTGGAGCTAGCTGAGCAGGCACCATGGTCAACAGTTTGGGCCGTAGGCCCTGTTTCCATGCTGTATTACTCTATGACTCTTAAGTGCTCATCGTTCCCCACTGCTACCATTGCTTCCAGACACTGACTGGGTTGCACATTATCATTATATAAACTATATTGCTTTTCTTTCACTGGGTCAAAATCTTGGAACTTCCTTTCTAAAAGCACCATGGGTTATCTATATTATGTGGGCTGCAACAGTTTGTGAAAGCAACTCACAATGACCTTTTCAAGGACAATTAGGGATGGTTGACAAATGTTGGTCTAGAAAATGTGGTCACATCTGTAAAAGATTAAACAAAAATTTCCCACACTTATCATTAAGGAATGACCATAAATCACTTAACTTGACAAATAAATTGAAATCTGACCAGCTTACATTGTATCTCCAAAATTTGTGGTTACTTTGCTTCTTTGTCCAACAGTTCCAGTCAACAATGAGGTCTGAGGACATTTGCACTACTGAGATTAATCATATTTGCACTCCACAGGCTGCAATATTTATAAAAGGAACAGAAAACATAACCAGATTATGGTTAAGAGGAATTTGTCCTGTTTATTAGATTTAGTGCAGTGTAAGTGCTTAGAGCAGGGATGTTGATCTCCATTTGGCAACTGACTTTTGGTAAACAGCTTCTTTGGCAGGATGATTTGGAAATGAGTCCCGCTCCTAAATTTCAGTCAATGCCATTCGGAACCAATCGACAAGAGATGAATAAAAATTGGCTAGACTAGGTATTGACCTGATTTTCCATGTACTTCAGAAAAAATAACAGAGATCAAATAGTGATAACACCGTGTGGAGCTGGAGGAACACAGCAAGCCGGGTAGCATCGGGGAACAGGAAGGTTGCCGTTTCAGGTCGGGACCCTTCTTCAGGAATGGGCCCATTACACCTTCCTAACTTGTCTGGAAAAGTTACACGTTGAAATAAATAAGAATCAATTTGGCAAACCTTTCAACAATAATATCCTTGTTAGACCTCATCTGTCAACTCAAATCTCTAAAGTAGCAAATTTGATTCTGTCAGGAGACTGTGGGTTCACCCACTTCAAGGCTTGGACACAACTTTCTGGGCTGACACTCCAATCCAGCACTGAAGGAATTCAGTACTCATGGGGGTGCCATCTTTCAGAACAAAACAATAAACTAAGGCCCTGTTTGCTTCCTCAAATGAATCTATAACTCCCCTAGCACTATTTTGGAAGAAGAGCAAGGGAGATGCTCTGGTCAATAGTTCTCCCTCAAATAATACCACAGAAACCAGTTATCCAATAATTGTAATGCTGTTTGAGACCTCATTCTGTACAAACTGACTGGCCCATTTCCTACAACAGTGACTATTCTTCTAATGGACTTTTATTGGTTATGAAGTGTTTTGAGGCATCTAGTGGTCATGAAAGGTCCCAGACATAAATGCAAATCTTTTTTTCCTATGTATAATTTTTCAATTTGTGAGGCTCTGTGAATTTTTGGAATGCCTTTTATGAATTTGTAAAAAGATAGCCCAGGGATTCCTGCCTCACTACTGTTTTAACGCGGAGTCGCTTTATTTTTGAATAACTGTGAGAAGGCAAGTTCCGAACAAGGTTTGTATCTGTGTGTCTTAGCCACAGGCTGATTTGTTCTGAATAGCATCTTTCATCAGTGTGTTGGTGTCATTATGCATTATCCTTGCCAACTAGAGGACTATTCAAATGATTTAATTGTGCAGTGGCCTGGCACAATTCCTACTTTTGCAATCTAAAATACTAATGTAAAAGTCCAATCAAGATCTGTGCTGCTGATTTCCTATAAAATATTTGTACCTGAATGCCGCTTAGTAAGCTTGTCATGGGTTCACAAAGTATAGAAAAATAAAAGGCAAAGAATGCTGGCAATGTTTCCAGCACTGACTGGGGTTACACCGAGCTTAAAGGAAGATGATTTTTGGAGGTCAGTCATCTCAGTCCGAGGACATCACTTCAGGGATTCCTAAGAATAGTGTCTCCAGCCCAAACACCTTCAGCTTCTTCATCAATTCCCTATCATTGGCATCCTACCATTGCCTAGAAACAGAATTTGACCAGCCATATGAATACTGTGGCCACGAGAGTAGGTCAGAAGCTTGAAATTCTGCAGTGAGTAACAAACCTTCTGTCCGCCCAGAGCTCATCCACTATCTGCAAGGTACAAGCCAGATGTATGATGGAATACTCTTCATTTGCCTCAAACATTGACTTCATCCATGATAGATATACCATCGAGCACTTAAACATTCATCATTGAATCTTAGTAGCAGCAGTTTCTATCATATGCAGCAATTCACAAAGCTGCTTTCACTGCACCGTCCAGACGTAGGACCTCTACCAACTAGAAGGACAAGGACAGTAGATACATGGGAACACAACCTGAAAATTCCCCTCCAAGTTGTATGTCATTTTTACTTGGAAATATATCCACCATTACTCACTGACACTGAGTCACAATCCTGGAATTTCCTCTCTAATAACATTTTGGGTGTAGCACAGCAGATTAACTTTGGTATTTTAAGAAAAGGCTCATCATCACCTTCTTAAGGGCAGTTAGGGATAGGCAAAAATTGTTGATCTTGTAAGCAATTCTGAAATAATTTTTAAAATGAACAAGCTCTAAATTTCCCTTTCTATACCTCCACTGTGTCATTTTCCCCCTTTAAGGCAGTTCTTTAGACCTAACCCTTTGACTGAATCTTTGATCATCTGACCTTGTATCTTCTTGTGTGGCTCGGTGTTTTGGTCATTTTATAATGCTCCCACGAAGCACCTCGTGATGTTTAATTATCTTTAAAGGCACTATATCAATAGCTTCAACTTCAAGGTAATCAGAATAGAATGTTCCATTTCAAAGTCTTCTGTAGCGACCAGGGTTTCTACATGCAGCATCTCCATGATAATCCTTATCTGAATTACTTGCTGCCCTGTGCTGTATGCTTCACAGCTGCTTATATATAGCTTTATGAGACAATCCATTGGTTAGAATTTACAGTCTTCCTGAAGCTCCAGCCACAACTCTCAGTGCTTGAGGGGTTTGTTCCATGT